TTGCCGCCACACACAAAAAGCGTGCACCCCAAACTGCACACCACAATTCAAATGGGGATTTTAAGAGAACAACCAAACAGACCCCGACCTAAATGCATAGTATGTGATTTATTACAATTTTCCAAAGTTTTAATCTCAAAAAATCATTAAAAAAATCCGCTCCTGCGAATCGCTTCATTCTTTTTGCGTTTGATTCCTTGAATTTTTCTCCACCACCATGCAAAAAATATGATCAAAACGAACACCTTCGAAAAGATCGTCCCTTGGAGTGTCGAACGCCCCTACCGTGCACCAAACGAAGGTTTTTGCGGCACACCACAATTCAAATGGGGATCTTAGGAGCAAAAAAACAAAACAGACCTCGACCGAAAATGCACAGTATGTGATTTTTTAAGATTTTCCAAAGTTTTAATCTTCAAAAAACCAATAAAAAAAATCCACTCGTGCGAATCGCTGCATTCTTTTTGCGTTTTGTTCCATGCATTTTTCTCCACCACCATGCAAAAAATCAGATCAAAATGATAAACCCAGAAAAGATCATCCCTCGATGTCCCAAACGCCCCTATCGTACGCGAAAGCAAGGTTGCCGCTCCATACCAAAAGCCTGCACCCCAACTCTGCATACCACAATTCAAATAGGGATTTTAGAAGCGCAACGCAACAGACCTCGACCCAAAATGCATTATATTCGATTTTTTACAATTTTCCAAAGTTTTAATATTCGAAAAATCATTAAAAAAGATCCGCTAGCCCGAATTAATCCGTTCATCTTGCATTTTGTTCCTTGAATTCTTCCCCACCACCATACAAAAAATCAGATCAAAATGACAACCCCCTAAAGATTGTCCCTCGATGTCCTGAACGCCCCTACCGTGCTCGAAAGCAAGGTTGTCGATCCACACCAAAAGCGTGCATCTCAACTCTGTACACCACAATTTAAATGAGGATTTTAGAAGTGCAACGCAACAGACCACGACCCAAAATGCATAGTATTCGATTTTTTACGATTTTCCAAAATTTTAAACTTCGAAAAATAATTTAAAAAGATCCACTCTTCCGAATCGATCTATTCTTCTTGTGTTTCGTTCCTTAAAATCAGATCAAAATGATAACCCGAAAAATATTATCACTTGATGTCCCGAACGCCCCTGCCGTGCGCGTAAGCAAGGTTGTCGCTCCACACCAAAAGCGTGCTCCCCAACTCTGCACACCACAATTCAAATGGAGATTTTAGAAGCGCAACGCAATAGACCATGACCCAAAATGCATAGTATTCAATTTTTTACGATTTTTCAAAGTTTTAATCTTCGAAAAATCATTAAAAAAGATCCGCTCGTCCGAATCCATCCGTTCTTCTTGTGTTTCGTTCCTTGAATTTTCCCCGCCATCATGCAAAAAATTAGATGAAAACGACAACCCCCAAAAAGATCGTCCCTCGATGTCCCGAACGCCCCTGCCATGCGCGAAAGCAAGGTTGCCTCTCCACACCAAAAGCGTGCACCCCAACTCTGCACACCACAATTCAAATGGAGATTTTAGAAGTGCAGCACAACTGACCCCGACCCAAAATGCACAGGTTTCGATTTTTTATGATTTTCCAAAGTTTTAATCTTCGAAAAATCATTAAAAAAGATCCGCTCGTCTGAATCCATCCGTTCTTCTTGCGTTTTGTTCCTTGAATTTTTCCCCGCCACCATGAAAAAAATCAGATGAAAACGACAACCCCCGAAAAGATCGTCCCTCGATGTCCCGAACGCCCCTACCGTGCGCGAAAGCAAGGTTGCCGCTTCACACCAAAAGTGTGCACCCAAAATCTGTGCACCACAATTCAAATGGAGATTTTAGAAGCGCAGCACAACTGACCCCGACCCAAAATGCATAGGTTTCGATTTTTTACGATTTTCCAAAGTTTTAAGCTTCTAAAAATCATTAAAAAATATCCGCTCGTCCAAATCCATCCGTTCTTCTTGCGTTTCGTTCCTTGAATTTTTTCGCACCATCATGCAAAAAATCAGATGAAATCGACAACCCCCGAAAAGATCGTCCCTCAATGTCCCGAACACCTCTACCGTGCGCAAAAGCAAGGTTGCTCCTCCACACCAAAAGTGTGCACCTAACTCTGCACACCAAAATTCAAATGGAGATTTTAGAAGCGCAGCGCAACTGACCCCGACCCAAAATGCATAGGTTTCGATTTTTTACGATTTTTCAAAATTTTAATCTTCAAAAAATCATTAAAAAAGATCCGCTCGTCTGAATCCATCCGTTCTTCTTGCGTTTCATTCCTTGAATTTTTCCCCGCCACCATACAAAAAATCAAATAAAAACGACAACCCCCGAAAAGATCGTCCCTCGATGTCCCGAACGCCCCTGCCATGCGCGAAAGTAAGGTTGCCGCTCCACACCAAAAGCGTGCACCCCAACTCTGCACGCCACAATTCAAATGGGGATTTTAGAAGCACAACGCAACTGACCCCAACCCAAAATGCACAGGTTTCGATTTTTTACGATTTTTCAAAATTTTAATCTTCGAAAAATCATTAAAAAAGATCCGCTCGTCCGAATCCATCCGTTCTTCTTGCGTTTCGTTCCTTGAATTTTCCCCGCCGCCATACAAAAAATCAGATGAAAACGACAGCCCCTGAAAAGATCGTCCCTCGATGTCCCGAACGCCCCTACCGTGCGCGAGAGCAAGGTTGCCGCTCCACACCAAAAACGTGCACCCCAACTCTGCACACCACAATTCAAATGGGTACTATTTTTCCTTTACACAAAACACTTTCATATCTTCGTTTATCGCTTGTTTGTCATGCCTTTTCCACTTCCACCTCCTCTCATCTTAACCCACAAACTTACAAACAAGCTATTAAAGACTCGAGATGGTGTGAGGCAATGCAGGCTGAACTGGAAGCTCTCGAGCTAAACAAAACCTGGGTGTTGACTTATCTTCCTCAAGGGGTCTAACCTATTACTTGTAAATATGTTTACAAGACAAAATACCATTTGGATGGCACGATAGAAATATTAAAAGCCAGGCTTGTTGCCAAAGGCTATACTCAGAAAGAAGGGATCGATTATCACGAGACTTTTTCTCCTATGGCCAAGATTGTCACTGTTCGATGTCTCCTAGCTATTGCAGCCATTAAGGGCTAGCATTTGCAGCAATTCGATGTAAATAATGTTTTCCTTAACGGGGATTTAGATGAAGACATATATATGGTAAAACCCCCCGGATATACAAAAGGCAAACCTAGTCAGGTATGCAAACTCCTCAAAAGTTTATATGGACTCAAGCAAGCTTCACGTCAATGGCATGCAAAATTTCCCAATTCTCTCATTCACTATGGTTTTACACAGTCAACTTTCGATTATAGTTTATTTACCATGTGACTAAAGATTCATTTAAAGCTTTGTTAGTGTACGTTGATGACATTGTTGTTGCTTCCAATTCCATTGCTTGCATTGAGTCTCTTAAGAACTTTCTAAACACTTGCTTCAAAATTAAGGATTTGGGTCCACTTCGATATTTTCTCAGCATTGAGCTAGCAAGATCTACCAAAGGAATTCATTTGTGTCAGCGAAAATACAATCTGGATATACTCTCAAACTCTGGTACTCTCGGCTCCAAACCTGCCAAACTACCAATGGATCAAAATCGCAAGCTACATAAAGACTCCGGCACTGCACTCCAAGATCATAGCTCTTTCAGGAGACTCATTGGCAGGCTTCTATACTTGACAAACACTAGGCCATATATTAGTTATTCAGTCCAACTTCTCAGCCAGTTCATGTCTCGACCAAGTGATCTTCACCTACAAGCTGCACACAAGATTTTAAAGTATCTCAAAAGCAATCTAGGTTAGGGTCTTCTCATCTCGGCTAACTCCCCTCTTCAGTTGCATGGTTATTGTGATTCCAATTGGGCTTCATGCCCTGATACCTGAAAATCAACCACTGGTTTTTGCCTCTTCATTGGACAATCCCTTGTCTCTTGGAAATCCAAAAAGCAGTCTGTTGTATCTCGTTCTTCTACCGAGGCTGAGTACCGTGCTATGGTAGCCACTTGTTGCAAGTTTACATGGATTCGTCAAATATTTCATGACTTGCACATTCCACATCCTAATCCTGCCATTCTGCATTGCGATAATCAAGCAGCTTTACATATAGCTGTGAAGCCCGTTTTCCATGAACGTACCTTAGCACATAGAAGTGGTTTGTCACATCATTTGAAACAAAATTCAAGAGAGAAGCATTGCCACTGCCCATGTCCCTAGCCACTCACAGTTAGTCTATATATTCACTAAAGCACTCTCTTCTAATGTGCTTAATACTCTTCTTTCCAAAATGGGAATAGTTAATCTCTATTCTCCCTCTTTGGGGTGGGGGGGGTGGTATTGGACAATAATAAACTTGAAAATGAAGATCACATGCAATTGCAACTCACCACTACTTTACAAAAGTGCTCTCGGCACATTTTAGATGAGAAGGGGTAGTCATGGTCTATATTGTAATTTAATAGTCAATTATTTTGTTGCTGAGTTGTACAAAGATTAGTGGTAGAGTTAGTTATTCTTTTTTCTTCGAGAATCATCTGTACAGAAGGCATATTTAGGCTAGTTTTTGTACTCGTTTCACAATACTATACAATATACTCAATTGAGGAATTCTTTAGCCAAACACTGGTATTCTCCTTTCCTAAAGCTTTCTTGTGCCCTGTTTTCAATTGTAACAAATAAAACTATTTGTAACCTCAAAGAGCAAGAAGAGACACCAAGATATGAAGAAACAAGCAAGAATGAACATAAAGTTAATCAAAGATAGGTATACCAGTTCATATTATAAAACCTAAATGAAAGAAAATACCAAAAAAAAAAANATGCAAACTCCTCAAAAGTTTATATGGACTCAAGCAAGCTTCACGTCAATGGCATGCAAAATTTCCCAATTCTCTCATTCACTATGGTTTTACACAGTTAACTTCTTATTATAGTTTATTTACCATGGTGACAAAAGATTCATTTACAGCTTTGTTAGTGTACATTGATGACATTGTTGTTGCTTCCAATTCCATTGCTTGCATTGAGTCTCTCAAGAACTTTTTGAACACTTCCTTCAAAATTAAGGATTTGGATCCACTTCGATATTTTCTCAGCATTGAGGTAGCAAGATCTACCAAAGGAATTCATTTGTGTCAGCGAAAATACACACTGGCTATACTCTCAAACTCTGGTACTCTCGGCTCCAAACCTGCCAAACTACCTATGGATCAAAATCTCAAGTTGCATAAAGACTCTGGCACTCCACTCCAAGATTGTAGCTCTTTCAGGAGACTCATTGGCAGGCTTCTATACTTGACAATCACTAGGCTAAACATTAGTTAGTCAGTCTAACTTCTCAGCCAGTTCATGTCTCAGCCAAGTGAACTTCATCTACATATTGTACACAAGATTTTAAAGTATCTTAAAAGCAACCCAGATCAGGATCTTCTCCTCTCGGCTAACTCCCCTCTTAATTTGTATGGTTATTGTGATTCCGATTGGGCTTCATGCCCTGATACCCGAAAATCAACCATTGGTTTTTGCCTCTTCATTGGACAATCCCTTGTCTCTTGGAAATCCAAAAAGCAGTCCGTTGTATCTCGTTCTTCTACCAAGGCTGAGTACCGTGCTATGGCAGCCACTTGTTGCGAGTTTACATGGATTCGTCAAATATTTCATAACTTGAGCATTCCACAACCTAATCTTGCCATTCTCCATTACGACAATCAAGCAGCCTTACATATTGATGCGAAGCCCGTTTTCCACGAACGTACGAAGCACATAAAGTAGATTGTCACATCATTCAAAACAAAATTCAAGAAGGAAGCATTGCCACTGCCCATGTCCCTAGCCACTCACAGTTAGCCGATATATTCACTAAAGTACTCTCTTCTTTCCAAGATGGGAATAGTTAATCTCTATTCTCCATCNATGCAAACTCCTCAAAAGTTTATATGGACTCAAGCAAGCTTCACGTCAATGGCATGCAAAATTTCCCAATTCTCTCATTCACTATGGTTTTACACAGTCAACTTTCGATTATAGTTTATTTACCATGTGACTAAAGATTCATTTAAAGCTTTGTTAGTGTACGTTGATGACATTGTTGTTGCTTCCAATTCCATTGCTTGCATTGAGTCTCTTAAGAACTTTCTAAACACTTGCTTCAAAATTAAGGATTTGGGTCCACTTCGATATTTTCTCAGCATTGAGCTAGCAAGATCTACCAAAGGAATTCATTTGTGTCAGCGAAAATACAATCTGGATATACTCTCAAACTCTGGTACTCTCGGCTCCAAACCTGCCAAACTACCAATGGATCAAAATCGCAAGCTACATAAAGACTCCGGCACTGCACTCCAAGATCATAGCTCTTTCAGGAGACTCATTGGCAGGCTTCTATACTTGACAAACACTAGGCCATATATTAGTTATTCAGTCCAACTTCTCAGCCAGTTCATGTCTCGACCAAGTGATCTTCACCTACAAGCTGCACACAAGATTTTAAAGTATCTCAAAAGCAATCTAGGTTAGGGTCTTCTCATCTCGGCTAACTCCCCTCTTCAGTTGCATGGTTATTGTGATTCCAATTGGGCTTCATGCCCTGATACCTGAAAATCAACCACTGGTTTTTGCCTCTTCATTGGACAATCCCTTGTCTCTTGGAAATCCAAAAAGCAGTCTGTTGTATCTCGTTCTTCTACCGAGGCTGAGTACCGTGCTATGGTAGCCACTTGTTGCAAGTTTACATGGATTCGTCAAATATTTCATGACTTGCACATTCCACATCCTAATCCTGCCATTCTGCATTGCGATAATCAAGCAGCTTTACATATAGCTGTGAAGCCCGTTTTCCATGAACGTACCTTAGCACATAGAAGTGGTTTGTCACATCATTTGAAACAAAATTCAAGAGAGAAGCATTGCCACTGCCCATGTCCCTAGCCACTCACAGTTAGTCTATATATTCACTAAAGCACTCTCTTCTAATGTGCTTAATACTCTTCTTTCCAAAATGGGAATAGTTAATCTCTATTCTCCCTCTTTGGGGTGGGGGGGGTGGTATTGGACAATAATAAACTTGAAAATGAAGATCACATGCAATTGCAACTCACCACTACTTTACAAAAGTGCTCTCGGCACATTTTAGATGAGAAGGGGTAGTCATGGTCTATATTGTAATTTAATAGTCAATTATTTTGTTGCTGAGTTGTACAAAGATTAGTGGTAGAGTTAGTTATTCTTTTTTCTTCGAGAATCATCTGTACAGAAGGCATATTTAGGCTAGTTTTTGTACTCGTTTCACAATACTATACAATATACTCAATTGAGGAATTCTTTAGCCAAACACTGGTATTCTCCTTTCCTAAAGCTTTCTTGTGCCCTGTTTTCAATTGTAACAAATAAAACTATTTGTAACCTCAAAGAGCAAGAAGAGACACCAAGATATGAAGAAACAAGCAAGAATGAACATAAAGTTAATCAAAGATAGGTATACCAGTTCATATTATAAAACCTAAATGAAAGAAAATACCAAAAAAAAAAAACAGAAGCCAGAGCAACTGACTTTAATGCCAGCACAGTCAAAGCCTTTGTGTGGCTAAAAGATCGAAACTTTCAATGACCCTCTAGTTTCTTTCCACTAAAAACCCTGGTAATGCCGCTTTGCTAAAGGAAATGAAGTTTATTTTTGTGTGTTGTGAAAGACAAACAGTCAAACACAGAGCCAAGGTATTATATAAGGTTTTTTTTTTAATGAAAATAAGAAGTTATTAAGTATATTTTTTTATCTAAAAATAAAAACAAAATAATAATAATAATAATAATAAAAGTTGTAAAAATTATTAAAAATGTACACTAAAATTTACCGTTTTCTAGTAATTTTTATTATTATTACATCTTTTTTATTTTCCTTTAACCTTGTACTGTATTACAATATTCTCTCATTTTTTTCCATAACCTTATTGTAAAGATTTTGGAAGCTTATATAAGCAAAGATTACATAAAAATAAATAAATAAAATTGCAAACCATTGAATGTTATAAACTTTTATTTACAAAAAAAAAAGGATTAAATATTAATTCAAATTCCATAAATAATAAAATAACATTTATTTTATTTACCATTTTAAACCATCCAAAAAGAGCTTTTAATCCCTAGTAAGAAAACTTTTACTATCTAAAAGTAGTTTTTTATATCAAATACATAATATAGAGATATTTACTTATCGTTTAGGTACTAGTAATTACGCAAAACCTTCTATCGTCTGTCAGACATTAACAAAATTGACAATTGCTCTTAGTTTTCTCTTTTTGCCATACCAAACTAGAAAAGAAAAAAATGGGTTTTAGATAACATTTCCCTAAAAATAAACATATTATTCAAATTTAGCAAAATAGCTCATTCAAGTGCAAAGGTGTCTTCCACTTCAGGCAGGTAGGACAAAAAAGTATATAGTAACTTTTATTATTCATACATTTACTATTTAGTTCACAATCAAATAGATGGTTAAATTCAAAATAAATATTTAAGAGTGTTGTTTTGTTATTTTGGGTAGGATTTTTAAAATAACATTGTAGAGTTGAGTTGAGTTATTATTACGAGAATAAGATTTGAATAAAATGTGTTTTGTAGAGTATTTTGACCTTGTTATTTGAGTTGAATAAATTGTTGAATATTTGTTTGGTATGTTTTCTATAAATGATTTATTAATACAATATTTTGGTGCATTTTGTTAAAATAATTTATTATTATAACCTTATCAATTTACATTTTAATAATATTAAACATTTGATTGGTAATTTTGTAACCAGTAAATTAAAAAAAAAAATCTCATATTAATTTCAAGTACTAATTCAACTGTAAAAAAACATCATATTAATACATATATGACAAAGCTACTAATTATCAACCCTTAGAATCGTTTGTACACCTATACTCTATTAACAACTACGACATGGTCATATGTGCTACCCACATTTCAGTCGTTATGTTATCTCGTAGAGTCGCCATGTCGTTTATAATACCTTGATGTGATTGACTCGATCCATCTCCATTTCCGCCATCTTTTGCCCCGTTTTGGCCATCAAAATATACTTGCTTACTACCCGTATTTTCAGTCTACCATTGGAAGATAGGGTCCTCCATATTGCACATTCTGATAAAATTATGAAGTACACAACATGTCATAACAATCTTCCCGAGTTTTTCCAACGGGTAATTGTTCATTCCATTGATAATACGGAACCTTTTTTTTTTTTAAAACACCAAAGGTTTTCTCGACAACATTGCTGAGTGATGCATGTATGTAGTTAAACAACTCTTGTGGCCCCTCCAGTTACAGCGGCGATCATGAATATGGTAAGCCACTCGCCTATGAAGAGTTAGGAGCCCCTCTCTATTTGGATAACCCGCATCAACCAAATATTATTTTCATGTAATAAAATCACACATGTTATTTGAATTCCAAGGCCTTAAAAATGGAGCCAATATGCTATAATACATAAGGAAGATACTTATACTTGGTGGAGGATGTGGGAATCTAGAATTAAGATCATCAAGAACTGAATTTAAAACTCTTGAATCATGCGCGAATCCTTCCCACCTAGTGACGACATAAGTGAACATCATACTAAAATCACATACAGCTATTACATTTTGTGACAACGTTCCTTTGCAATTCTTGTACCTATCGCCAAACTCCTATGGAACCGAAGCATAAACATGTGTGCCATCAATGGCTCCAATATAGTCCTATCATGAAAATTGAATTTTAGTAATATTAACCGATCATCCAAACTCCTATTCACCTAATTCTATCACTCCTTGTGGATATTCATCCGGTGATTGTTTGAATTTCCATCCTCCGTCCAGTCGTACGATTACATAAACCAATTTAGGACACGCAGGCCCGGATAACAAACTAATAATAAATTTAATTATTATTACAAGCCATTGAAAGAATATTACATGCCCAAATATCAAATATTTTTGGGAAAAATAAATATAAACCCATGATCAACCCCTAATTATTATCATCCATCACATTAATAAATATTAATTCAATCAAGGGCATATAAATAAATATTTATGCAAGTTACAATATTTATAAATTAAGGACTTCGTGTAATAAATACATAAAAATATGTCATGATTGAACAAAGGGTACAGGCATAATTTTACTACCCTTAAAAATATAAATCATTATATTATCCATCACATGAATATAAAGAAATATATATTATCCTAAGGATTTCATGCAATAAATGTATAAAATATGTCATGATTAAACCAAGGGTACATGCATAATTTCATCACTATAATATTTATAAAAATTATTATATTACCCATCACATTAAAAAAAAACTTCTCACATCACATTCAATCAAATAAAATTAAAAAATGAAAACCTATGCATCATGATAAATCGATTTTTACTTGAATCACCATCCAAAAAGAAAACATATGATGAGCAAAGAATTAATCAAACATGCATATCACCTTAATCCATACACCATTTGATCATTATCAAAACATGAACAATTCAAGCACCATTCAATCTATGATATAGCCAAATGTGATACCAATTTGCATCAATCATGCATTCAATTCTCACATGATTTTTCAAGCAAAATTCATAAGAAAACACATATTAATCACCATTAAAACATGCCTCTGTCACAAATACAATTTATGCATGGAAAAAACTTAAACACTAACCTTAATCAACATGCAAACATTTGCATTCACAATACAATCCAACCCAAATGCATTTATACTCCATTATATCACATATAACTTCTCAAACATGCATTCAAAGTACATTATGCATCCAAATAATGTTTGGCCGAATTCATCCTTTTCAAAGTCATCAAATTTGCATCAAACATGCTCACTTACACATGCATGTATCATATGAATAAGATATATTCATATTTTAACAAAAATGCATCAAGATGCAATAAATCATACATGCATGTTACATATGATTTCAAGAACAAGAAACTATGTATTCTAAATATCAAAAATTCATAAAGTATGTTAATAAGCATGAATATCACATATCCATCATCATTTGTATTCAAAATACACAATAACTTCAACATGCATCTAAAGCCAAAATATATTCATGTCCAAACCAAGCCATTTTTCACCAAAAATGCTACATGCATGCATGAATTTAAACATGCTCTGATACCATTGTTGGGATTCTTGCATTTTGGACATGGAAATGGTGTAAAATGGATCAACAAGATGATGGATGTAAGGTAGAAAACAAACTGGCAATTTTAAAAAAAAAAAAAATAGTATATTACCTACTCCTTTGCTATTAAATGCTTGATGTTGAAACTTGGAGTCTAGATTCTTCAAAAGAGAATGAAGAAACTCAAAATGTAATCCACCCAAGCCAAAGATGAGAGAGAGCCAAGAGAGTGAGAGAGTGTCTTTTGTTTTCAATTGTTGCAAATTGAATGAAAATAGTATAACACTTGGTTTATATACCATGGGCACAAAGTGTAATTTTAAATTGTCTTGGGAGGTCCTCAAACAATTTAAAATTGATCTTGGGAAAGAGCATTTATATCAAGTCCTTGGTTTTATGGTTAATTCATAATTAGCTTAATTTTAATCCTATTAATTATTTTAACTCTTTAGAATAAAACCAATGCACTTTTGTCCTCATCATTGAATCCAATTCAATAATAATATTTAATAAATCCTTATTACCCTTGGTTAGTGCTAGCTATCCATGGATAATCATTTCTCACCAATACACTATTTCGAATGCAACTGTTTACGTCCAAACATCATTAATCCGATCAATGATATGTATTACTCTCTCTTTTTGAGTTTGGTTTTATGTGTGACCATTTTGGTTCACTGTGATCTAGTCGTGAGCCCAATATCAGATTCTGATATGTTTCATTATAACTCTTTATAATCGAAACTCCCACTGATTATGGTAGACGTCTAGCAATGTTTCATAACCCCTAAACCACAATGAAATATAAACTCCAATGAACATATTCTGATCGTACGTACCGTGTAGTAAAATCCCTTCATTACCTAATCTCGATTAAGAATGGTTCATGGTATGTCAAAACATTTAACTTAATCTTTAATCAAATTGTCAATCAATACAATGGAATGCATCAACATGAAACTACTATTCATCTAACATTCATTATACTCTAGCCAGAGATTTCCCTTTTCCAATGTTTGTTGACATTCGTTTGGGAACTCGAGATTGGACTATTTTGAGTTAACGAATCCGATCTTAACCATCACTTGTCCTCGCACATGAGTAACATATGACCAAACCGGCTTATTACACAAGACATGACTAGTCTCATGCTTATACATTATATGAACCATATGCATTCTATGTTGAATTCAACCGTGATGTCTCAGGTCTAAGGATTAGTGGTACATTAGCATGATCCTACAATGCGTCATTGACCACGTCCATGTGATTCATCGTAATCGATCGTTTTCGATAAATAGTTTACTAACCATTTATCCATGCTAATGTCTTAATGACATACCTCTTATAATCACCCACACTAATACCATCACATGATATTCAATGGAGACTTTCAACATGCCTATTATACAATGTTATTGCCCAATTAACATTACTTGCGTAGGGAATTCTTCGATGATCTGATCTTCTGAAGATTCGTGTCATCCAGACATTTCACATGCAATATTAATTATAATATAAATGAAGCAATAAATCAACATGTGAAATAAGAACACTTTTTTTTATTCATAAAACATTTACAAGATATAATATCCTTAAACCGACAACACGATTGGTTCATAGGGCATACACTAACAATTTTTGCACGCTCGGACAACAAAACCAGAAATTTTTGGGTCATCTCAGTGGACCAGTTGGCATTATCACTCATCTAATAATAATACAGTGAGAACGACAACCAAGATTGGAACACCATAATAATCAGCAAACACATTACCACCACACATACGCACATTTAAACCTCATAAACTAAACACAGATAAATTGTTACCTTGTTCGATCCAACACTACTTGAAGCCGTCAATGTAGGGGAAACTACAGGCAATGTTGACCAATAAGGTGTATGACGAACTCCAAGTCTGGAAAAACGTCGAAACTTCCTCTTCTGTTGAAAGTAGTAATCGATCTTGCAACGGCAGGCCAAATTATACTGACTTTTGTTCATATGATTGTAATTTGTTCTTACGATCAAATAACGATGCCAAATTTGCCCAAAATTTCTAGTAACCATGGTTAACTAATTGTAGTTGACGGTAACTATAGTAACCAATTCAACTAACTAAACTAATTACTCCTAACCATATACAACCATATTAACTACAACCTAACCAACTACAATTAAAACACAAACAACTAATGATATTCATACATTGCATTGCGTACAAGTAAAACATAAACAAATATAACACAAATGCAAAATAAAACAAATATAAAATAAACCCTAAACAAATGCGTAATAAAACAAATATAAAACAAATGCATCCTAAAACATAAATCAAATCAGGGACCTAAACCAAATCAGTGTGTTGCATTGTTTGGGTTACCTCTTAACAAATCGTTCAGATCTGGTGGCGTGGGGTTGGAGGAGGGTGGTCGACGGTGGGTTAACGAAGTATTTAAACAACATCGCTGATGCTTAAAGAATGTGGTGGCTTCGGGTTTGATGAGCTCTTGCCGACGATGGTGGTGGAACTGGTGCTCGTTAAAGAAGCTGTTGGACTCAAGTTGGGGGAGATTTCACCGATGATGGTGCTAGATCTGGGCTCGTGTGCGCCGGTGGTGGCGCTCAAAGGTGGTGGGCTCAGGTTGGAGAAGAAAACCTTTTTTGCTAGTGGATCTGGAGTCCTATCAACGCCGGAGGTGGCACTCGAAGGTGGTGGAGAGCGAAGGTGGTGGAAGATGATGGTGAAATGATTTGCTTTGGGTTCTTAGTCTGTGACTATGGTGTGGAAATGTTATCTGTAATTGTTTCTTTTTCCTCAGTAGATCGTGAATGTGTTTATGTCCAGTCGGAGAGTGCTTTGGATATGGGCTGGTGTTTGTTGTTGGTAGGCTAGGTGTGTGGATTTTGGCTTCAATTTTTCGATCTGTCGAGGTTGGCAGTGGGGTGTTTTGCTGTTGTCCTCTTCCACTGGTGGTGGTTTTTTTTGCTAAATATCGTTGTAGGAGGAGTTTCAGGTTCTTTGGGTGTTGAGTTTGAATGCAAGTGGAAGATGGTCTAGCTTTGGTTGTAATGTGGAAGATGGTGACTGTTAAGGATAACGATCTGGATTTCCTGACACCGATGGTGGTTTCAAGTTAACGGTGGGTTTCTGAATGCCTTAAAATGTGTTAGCATGATCGGTTTTTGAATGCCTTAAAATGTGTTAGCATGGTGAAGGAAGAAGAAGAAAATAAGGAAGAGAGAGGAAAAGCCAAAAAAAAAGCTGCTGAGCTTGTGTCAGAATGGTCATTTTGTGCGTTAGGAATCTTTCTCTGAGCATTGAAACGAACGTTTTTTTGGCTAAATCCAATTCCAAATACAAGTACAAATAGGGAACCAATCGCAAGTGTCAAAGTGATAGTATACTGTTAAAATAGAATAACGATAAATATTTCGCATTTATAATAAGATAATGAAAATAAATATATTGTTATTTTCAGATACTATGTTTAAAAATAATAATACATACATACATTTCTCAAACTATAAGAGCACAAGAACATTATGTTCTGGAAGCTTTCTTTCTAAAGCAACAGCTTTGGAACTTCAAAACCTCGACATGCAAATTCTTAATGTTCTGCGTCAAAGGAGTCCAGTTCCTAGTGATCCGGAGCTTGGTCTTGGCTAGCTTGAAGAAGGGAACGGAAGTGGATCAGCACCCTGATCCTTAGACTCCCCAGAGCCACTGGAATCTTCAATGAGCTTGGAAGCAGCATCAGACAAATCCTTTGAGTACTTATCCCGCTTCAGAATCTTCCGCGCCAGGAGTAGAGCCTTTTGTTCAGAGCTAGAAGCTTTTTGCTCTGAAGCAATAGCTTGGTTCTTCAAAACCTCATTCTCTGCTTCATTACGGATCAGTTCAGCCTCCAGGAATAGAGCCTTCTGTTCGGAGCTGGAAGCTTTTTGCTCTGAAGCAATAGCTTGGTTCTTCAAAGCCTCATTCTCTGCTTGGTTCTTGATCAGTTCAGCCTCCAGGGATTCAACTCTGGAGTTATGATCCACCTCAGATGATTCATAACTCTTCAGCTTTGCCTCTGCTTCTGCTAACTTACTAGAAAATAAGGCAACCTCAGCGCTCAGATTGGACATAATGACCTCAATGCGGGACTTGGTGGCCTCCGCAGCCTTAGCAGTTTCAGAATCCTCCACTTGTTGATTCTCCGCAGAATTAGCAGTTTCAGAGTTATCTACAGCCCTATGAAAAATAAACTTAGCTTCAACTATCAGAGTATCATTCACAAGATACCCTCTGTTAGGATCATAGAGTTCACCAAGGGGCATAAAGGATGTGAAACCCCATTCACTTTCTAGTGCATCAAACTGGTGTTGAGTATCTGACAAGTTCAAATGGTAAAGTTATCACATATTTCACAAGAGTGTCTAGCATCATGCTATACACATCTTTTATAACTAAAGGTTTGAACACCATCTTGTTGTGGAACAGTCCAACCACCAAAAATAAAATTCATACAATTCACAAGGTCCAAATTGCAAAGCTAAGAAAACAGACAAACCAAATGAGATATATGGCTGCAACAAACAGATGTTAACACAAAAACAGAAGGCATGAGAAAGCTGAAGGCACACATTCAGCAATGAAAGCCCATGCTTCCCAATCCCAAGAAAGGTTCAAGATAAAAAGCTAGGGATGGGCGAAATTACAGGAAATCAATAAGAAAAAACCCCAAACCATTATTTTTTTTAATTTACTTATTTTTGGTAACCGGGGTGCTCGGACCAACTTGCACGCATCTTAACTAATCCCCATGATCCATTGAACACCTTACAAAACCCAAGAAACCAAGTAAGCCATAATGTTATTGTAGTAGATGGCCTCAAAGTTTGAACCTAGGAATTCAAGGAAGAGAGCAAACCTCCTTGACCAACAAGCCAATCCTTTGGGGTTAATTTTAATTTATTTTTTGTTTTATTGTTCTACCATATACATATATATGGATTGGGATCCTTTAACGAGAGAGTTTTTACTTAACAACTTGACTTACATTTCAGCCATTTGTTCATCTTAATCCAATGTTGCACAGAGGTCATAAGTAGTCAACATTAACTATGAGCTTTTGACTTTTGATTTTAACCATAGGATTAAAATGAATGAATGCAAGAAAACTGAAATTAAAGGATTTAAGTTAAAATTTCTTATCCCCAAATATACATACCATGTCCAATTAAAGGCAGAGAGAATATAGTGACACAAAGGGTCAGGGAATTAGGAAGAGGGAGGGATGAAAAACAATTTCCATCAACAATATACATTCCTAAATCTGAAATAGAACAGGTGAGAGGATAAAATACGTGAAATTTAAATGGCCATATACTATTTCCACTAATAATGGTTTATATGAGAAGAACAAAAAAAGTTATAAACAGTTCTAACCACACAGAATTTTTATATATTCACATATGTAATTTTTTTATTTTTCTTTCCTTACTTTCCATGGTTCTACAAGCAAACAAGCATAATTTGACATATATTATAAAATGTAAATGCAGTGCATAAACATGCATGTGTAAAGATTTTTAAGAGTTTTTAATATCCCAAAACACCCCGTATCCATGTAGCACGCTGATTGTGTCTTTATTAATGAATGATAAAGAAATGTCCCAAAAAACCACTGACACATCCTAATTACAGTGGTTCCAGAAATGCAAATACAAGGATTCCAACAAATTCATTCCCAAATCTTCTCCTTCTTTATTTTCTTCAAACCCTAAGTTATTCCTTTCATATGTGTTTGGCACATCAATTCCCCTGAAATTGCAGACCCCTCAACTCCAATCTAATAAATACAAACACATACATAAAGATATTAATGGTTTGAATCATGAAACAAGCTACACTACTCATGCTTGGCAATAGAACCCAATCGAACTTTCATTCATTAAAAATTTGCCGAAAAATACTGACTTTCATATAAAGAGGGTACCTTTTCTCACTGAGGACTGGGTACGAATTTGATTAATCACCGCCAAGCTAAACTGCGCATATCTACTCCACCCATTTGGCAAACTTCCTGAATCAGCAACATCTAGATACATAGACAAGTGATCCACATTGTTCCCCTTTGGAAAAATAAGCACACGCCTGCCAGTGCAAAGCAGAAAACAAAAAGCATATAAGAAACACTATTGGCCACCAATGCTTCTTCAAAAAATAACCGAAAAGAAAGGGAGGGGTGAGTACCATTTATAACCGCCGACAATGAAAATCTCCGAGTAGTGCTTCTCTGTATTCAACCTAGAAAAATTCTCGATTCTCCATGTAAATCTGGATGATGGAGGATCCTTCACTGGTTGATTCATGGTGTAAAGACTATTGGGAATTGTTCGGCGACGTCGTTTCGCAGCAGAGATAATGAGTTGAAACCTAAAAGAGCAATTAATTAGATTATACTTGAGAGAGAGCAAAGGAGATCACCAGAAGGTGGTCGACAGGGAGAAAGCTCTTGCTTAGCGTGGTCTTTATTTAGAAGAGTGGCGTTTACGGAAATTCAGGTTGGGTATATACAGTACAGTAAAGATTGCCGAGAAAAAAATGGGTGCAAATTGATATTATAATAAAATATTATGTACACAATCTTATTAAAGTTTGAAAGGCAAGAAAATGAAAATCCCAACAGAGGAAAATGAACAAATAATGTATCTCAACAATATATGATAATTGTTTTAATTAATAAAACAAACATATAAAAGAGAGTATTTGCATACTTACAATTTCAAGCTGAAGATCCAACCTTCAAAATTTCTGCTACTGCATTACAATCATAGACCAAATATAAAAGCTGAGTGAGTCTAATGGTTGAAGCTACAATAGCTTTATTTATTTAAGTCCCAGCAAACAAATGATTCAACTTATATAGAATTTAAAATGAAATTCTTGAAGAAGATGCTTAAGAATAAAGCATTAATATTCTTAAATTGAACCCAGCACAAGTAAATAGATATTATATTCTTAAATTGACCCCAACACAAGTAAATAGATCTATATCTAAACTAAAGGTAACTATTTCTAAAGACTAAAGCAATTAATTAAATTCCTAGCAAGAAGAAAAGTATATAGTATTCTTAAACCTCTTCTCAACCAAAACATCTATTATAGATCATGAAAGAAAACGCATGCCATAGGAATAACTCTTTTAACATTTTGGTAACAATAAATGATAGAAATCTATATGTGCTTTCTGTAGGACACAAATGCGGCCTGTATTAAAGTGAATACAAGTAGGAGAAGAATGACAGCAAAAATGACAGAAATGGCAGTCCATGGAGTTCTCAAAATATCTTGTTTCAAATTTCCCTTCCACTTGTTCGAAGGTCTTCTGCAATAAGCATTCAGATCTTCAACAAGAGAAGAAAACTGGAAATAATAAGAATCAACAGTAGACTATTCCACAAGTTTATGAAAAAGAGTTGACACTCATTCACTATCCCCAAGTAGATTTTCAATAATTTCTTGTCGAACAAGCAATTCCACATCCTTGGGAGTGTTAACAAGATAATTCATGAAGATAACATAGTCACCTAAGAGATTATCATCACACTGACTTTGCTCGAACGCCAAAATGTTTTTCATTAAGTGCTAGAGTCTCACACCGACTAGGCAAACTCAAACTTACTGGTTTATAAGAGATGATAATCCTCCCATTCAACAAAGCCTTATTGGGTAAGGAGTCAGGCCCACCTCAAATTCCATATGATATCAGAGCTAGGCCCTTTATCAATAGGCATGACCCAACATATGGGCTTGACCTTGAGAGGGAGTGTTGGAGTCCCACACCAACTAGGCATACTCAAACCTACTGGTAGTCAGGCCCACCTCAAATTCTATCACATATTCATCGGACTTTATATACTTTCATGGAATTTCCAATATTCCATCACTGAATTTATTAATTTATTTTTACTTTTTTCTAACAAATTTTTAATAAGTATTTACTGAAATTTAATAATTCATTTAAAAACTTAATTTCAACATAAATTTAAATTTGTGATTAAAAAATTAAAAATTAATGGAAAAGAAGCATTTATCAACACTAAGAATATTAAAAAGAATTTTAGAAAAAAATGTAAGCCATGATATTTTGGACTTTTTCTTGAGCACAACCATAATCTTTTCTAATTTTAGTCCCCTTCTTATGTTTGACTCTTCTTTTTGGAGAACAAGACTGTACCAAAATTAGTCCCCATCTATTTTATCAATAAACCCCATTATTGATTTAAAAGGGAGGTGTAATTTTATACGGGCACTTACAACTCAATCTTACAAACTTTCACTCACAACCCTGATGTGGCAACTCGCAAATAGATCTTGTTTGCTTGTTATAGGTTCCACTTGCCCAATTGCAAGCTGGCCGGAGATTGTAAAAGAAAGTTTGTAAAATTCGGTTGTAAGCCAATCTTTATCCATTTTACATTTGTTTTATAAACATCCAGGATTGCCGAATAGCTAAGGACCAGAGTACCCACACTCCCATCTCTATCCCAAAACAAACTTATTTTTTCATTAACCCTTGACAGAATTTGAACATTTAATTTCCCAAAATAAGTACCAATCTATTATCTCTCTGATCAAAACAAAAGGCATGTTCCTCATAAACAAAATTGAAACCAAAAATATACTGTTAATATGTAAAAATATTCCACTCCATACCCAAAAAAAAAAAAAAAAGGGGCATTCAACATCAGCAATATCTCAAGTTTCTAAAATAAAAGTTAATATCCTAAACATATCCAAAGTTCGGAAGAGCAAAATCTCTAAAACAAATTATTCAGAAGAAAGCACGAACACAAACCTTAGCCAGAAAGCTAAATTGTAACACTTAAAACCTGAGACGTTACATGCACTTGCAAAAAAATAATGAGTTGTAAATGTTACGAAACATTGCATTGCTATGAAAGCACTGAAGAAAGGAACCAAAGCTATAGTAGTCGATGCAGATACCAAAAGCAAACTCAAAAGGCATCAACTTTAATCTAATAAAACTATTTGTAACCTCAAAGAGCAAGAAGAGACACCAAGACATGAAGAAACAAGCAAGAATGAACATAAAGTTAACCAAAGTTAGGCATACCAGTTCACATCAGAAAACCCAAATGAAAGAAAATACCCACCAAAAAGGTGNTTATGAGTTACATTGGACACAAATGAATGAATAATGAAAATTTATTAGGGGTGTATTTATAAACTTATAAGGTGTTTTTGTTATTTTTTAAACTAATAGGGGGTAATTGATTTTTTATAGGGTACCCTGGAAAGGAACCGGAACCTGCATTTTAGGTTCTGGTTCCTTGAATTGAAGAACCTGCACTGTGCGGTTCCGGTTCCGGTTCCTTTTTTTGGGAACCTGCACTGTGCGGTTCCGGTTCCGGTTCCCCTGAAAAATGCAGGGTACCCGGAACCGCTCACCCCTACCCCTTCCCTTCCCTTCAAAATCGCTTAATCAAGCAGTATACCCAAAAAATGACCGACGAAACGCCTTCCATTTTTCTACGATTTTCGGAGATAAAAGTTCCATATTTCTGGTCAATATTCGATCCTAAAGCTTCGTTACACAAAAATCATGGCTAGTATTCACAAAAAGGAGGAAAACCTAACCCCACTTCAAATCCTAGAGTCCGACAATGGCGACTGTTCAAAGGTTGTCGAAGAAGACGCTCTGGTGGATCATCCGATGAGTGAAGGTGGCCCAACGATAGAGGAAACAATGGTGGCACAAGAATAGAGAGGAAAATCAGAAAATAGTTCTGAAGAGGAGGACGTCGGTGAGAATTCAGGCAAGGAGGAGGACGTCGGTGAAGAAAATGTACGTTTTTTACTAGTGGTTTTGAATCTGATGAAAAAATTGATTGGTTTGTGCGAATTTGGGGGATATCTAGTTGGTTTTTATTGTTACGATGGTTGTGGCGTTTTGTCGAGCAATTGACGGGCATCGGGGGATTCGCTTTGTTTGGGTTCTAGAGGATGAGGGAAGGTAAGAGAGGCCGTAGGGAGGTTGTTTGTGGGAAGTTGAAGGGCTAGGGATGGTATGAGGGGGCAGAATAGAAGGGTTGAAGGGTTGCCCTGTATATTGCAGGGTTGGCTGATAAGTGCTTGAAAATGCACTTATACTTAGTGTTTTATAGGTATTGTTTGTGGGAAAGTAGGGTCAATTTGCAGACATTAACTTAATTGTTTCATAAATACACTTTTTGGGATCACGAGTGTTTTTGTAGTGTTTACAGGGAATAATTGTTTAAAAATAATATTTGGATGGGAGATGATGTTGGAGAGAGAATTTTTGATGACTGAAAACAAACAGTTCGAAAATCGGACTTGAGACGAGGAGGTTATGGTGGATTTACCGTCATATGCAAAATCTGGAAAATGCTCCAATTTTGAGTATGCTTCAATTTTGACGTTTTTGTACTCAAAGATGAAGATCTTTCGATGCCACGATAGAATTCTAGCGTTGCGACATCTGCTCTCGGGTTTGAAGGGAGGATTTCTGGAAAAAGTGTGTCGAGGCAGGCATGATGAATGAGTTTGGCGCTGAGGCATAAAAAATTAGTGCCGCGGCATAGAACGGGAATTTTAGATAAATAACGAGTCTTGTAAAACTTAATCCGAATTTTGTTCTCCTATATTGTATAGGACTTTCCCATTATTTTTCGCACAACCCTAGCACTATAAAAGGATGTCTTTAGGTATTTTTTAGAAGGGAAAGAAGAGAGAGGATAGAGAACAAAAAAATACTCAATAATATAGAGATTAAGAGAGATTGAAAGAGGTTAGAGAGAAGAATTGGAGAAGATCATCATCAACTCCGTAATCTACTCAAGCTTTCCTAAGTTTTTATTTTTCCTTTGTATTATTTGTTATCATGAATACAATGATGTTTTTTATTTTTATTCATGGGTAACTAATTCTTTTGTGATTGAGAGTGATTCCAAAGCCCTAGACATGTCTTGAAATTAATAAAATCTACATCTATTTATCTTTTGATCTATCTTGGTTATGTGATTATTTCTCTGTGAATAGGGTTTAGATAGATTGTCTTAATTGTTTAAGTGCGCAATTAAATTGTTATGATTAATCTGTTAATTCCAATTTAGGTTGTTTAGTACAGAATCGCTTTATTAACCTAAATAACCAGTGGTAAAGTGTATGCTTGCATGCATTAGGGGTAATCACTCAAGATAACTAAACCGACCATATGAGTTTAGCCTTGATTTAGTAGGTCTCTCACAACTTAATGCTTTTCTTACTTTGAATCTAGAGATCGTATCATAAGTTATCTAATAAATAGGAATTGAGTTATAACCGT